TGTGAGGGGGCAACCATAAAGGTTCCGTATCACGTAGAGGGAGAGAGAGATAAGGACAGGGTATCTCAAACACGACGCATAGGCTATAATCGGAGTAAGTCAACGCGTCGAAAAGCACGTACATCGTGGTGAGTCTCACAGATGTGCGGGATGTAGAGAGAAGCATTGATGGTGTCGAAGAGGGGGCCGTCAAAACAACACCCATAAATGAGGGTGGGTGGAGTGATAGACCAATGAGAAAGCATGAAAAATCGTCAAAAAAGGTGTGTTGCATGTGGAAAAAAAGATAGAGCATATTGACAAGTCGACAAACGAATATATGCATATATGACAGGATAGAGATAGACAAGGACAGGACAAAATACAAGATAAACGATCACAGATGATTTGTGGAAAGATGGACACATCAAGTAACGGGACGGGAGAGAGGGTGAGTCGAAATAGCAGAGAGAGAGAGAGAGAAGACAAACGAGAAACCGTCACATTCGGACCCAACTATACGACAGTATAGATAGATGAGTGTTGCAAAAAAGACAAAAACAGACGTAAACAACTCTATCAGTTATCACATACAGGTCACAGTGGCAAACGGAGATCAGGAATGTAGGAAAATAGTGCGGAAACAATAGTGTACGTGAGTAGTGATAAGGACAATACATCTGTTCACCATAGGAAATCATGTATTCAAACACAATGGTGGTGGCGACATCATCGTCCGCAGTTGCCTATGACAACATCAGTTACAGTCTAGCATTATCTTGTTTTCGTCATGCTCAGGTTTCTGCTCTGTAAAGACAGAACTGGCCGAACTACTGCAGCGTACACTCGACCGTTCACTGAGGATGTAATTAGCACATTCTCGGTTGTCAGCCCATAAACTGTACAATGTTTATCGTGATGAAAAGTAAACAGACGACGACCGAAGGCAGTTAATCCATGATATAAATTTTTCCGTCCTTTAGTAACCATTGCTTATTGTTTAGTGGCAACTAAGTATATGTTAGTGTCATAGTATAGTACCTTTCCAATACACCCCTAGCGCACACGTCTGAAGTTTTGATCCAGTTACGTAACTTGGCGGTCTATTATGGTTCATGTGACAGCTCCCTACTAGAATAAAAGAGAACGCATGAAAATCTTCATTTTTGTATTGAAAAGTTCCACTCCGGTGTTGAAAAATATAGGTTCACAGATCTGAGTAATTTTTTCGAAGATGCAATAAAACGAGAACAGTATGCCTGGTAAATGAAACGCAAAAAACAGACGAAATACGATCAGATGTATGTACGTTTCGTGTGAGAAATGGATTTGATTCAATTGCAAAGGTTCGATCCCCGGTTGGGTCAATGGATTCGCACTGCTGTTGGGTCCCAACCAGATCGAAACAGCTGTCCAGTGCTCCGTAGCTTTTCAGTTTACGATTCATTTGCTATGCACATGATGGATTCACGTCTGTACGTGTGTTTGAAAAACCCGCAATATAACTTTAAGCCGATGTTCCCCAGGTGATTGATATTCCGGAATGTGCTCAATCTGAGCTTTGTATTTACTGGGAAAATTTATCGTCGAAACACACGGAGGACTCTGTCAATCGGTTTACCAAATGAGAAATAATTTGAATGGTAGTTGACAGCATCCCTAACCACCAGTGAATCGAAAAGTTGTTCAGACCTGTAAGCCCATATTTTTTTAACACTAATTTGGTATTTTTGGATAAAACATGGAATTTTCCCCTCTGATTCTCTTTTATTCACGTCAAACATTTTCACGTCACGTATACTTGACTGCCAAGTCAGATAGATGACTGCGTCCATAAGTCAAGCGTACAGCAGCTTTACGCATTCGAGGTGTGTTGGAGAGACGTGCTTATTCACTCATAGGCCGTGGGTGGTACAATACAGATGTATCATGAGTTCTCTTACACCAAATCATCAGATTCTCAAACAGCCTAAGTCAAATTCTCAGTCTCGGTAGACACAACCAGCACCTAAAAATTAAAGCTCATTGTAGTGGGGGTTCTACGTTGCTTGAACCAAGCTTTAGTGCACAATCGCATACGCACACAGCTTCTGTCTAATCCGTACGCACACATGTGCATCTGCAAGTTGACTGTAATGCAAAGAGCTACCAGTGAGGTGTTTCGGGGACCGCCTAGTTATCGTTTGGTTTACACCAGAGCCTAATTCAAGCTAGACAGAAATCTACTCTGATAATTTGTAATTTTTACCTGCTGGCTGTGTTTGCTGTAGTCGAACTGAGAATCCGAATTGGGCCGCTTGGGAATCTGACTATTCGGTGTTCGAGAATTCCTGATGCACCTGTACACACATTGAGTATAAAACGACTGCTACTGAATACTAAACGACGGAAAACACCGCAGATACAATCGAAAGCGTGGAACTTTTGATAGAGCTAGATTTCAATGCCGCTGATTACTTGCTGAAAGAATTTCGATGCAATTTGTTGATCAGCGGCTCCGCCGTCACCACTCGACCTATGACATCAGGTGACCTGTAGAGATACCCTTCAATATTCTCCAATCCCAGATTTGCCTTTCACTGCCCTGCAATTCGGTGAGACTGTACTGATGATTTGGAATTACTGATCTAAATTTGATAAACGATGTGAAAGCGAGCATCCATTACCACAGGAATGCAATTTTTAAAAAAGGTGATCTACTTTGTGTCTCGTTTTGGTGTCCCACATTATTCGTAACCGGTCGACACTCATGGATACTGGCAAAAACGATACATTTGCATAGACAGTGCGTTAAAACTAACTGGTTCCACCTGGCTCCTCCATTTTGGCTTTTAGTGGGGATGAGTGTGATGATAATTTTTGTGTGAATTCCCGCCGTTGAATGAACGATATACGCCACCTACATTTCGCATTTAATAATTCTTAATTCTAGTGTTTTATCATGTGATAGTAGCATCAGCATTGCTTCATGAATACTATGTGAAGATGAATATATTCCTCATGCTTTTGAATATCCCAACATCAGAGTAGTGGAGACGACTGTATTGGTTATTCATTGCCCCAGACTAATCGCGTATGCGGTACTCAGTAATAGTAATAGGCTACGTAGGCCCTGATCTATTTACATACAGATTGAGCTTGTCTGTCTAACCGCGTTTAGTTCCGTGGAATTCTAACTGCTAATGACCTTGAACTATCGTATTCCGACTTTGGTTGCTCCCTCAAAGTATTGTCCAACGATGAGCTAAATGAGCTGTTTCTTCACAATCGAACCGATCATACCTTGTTTCAGTCCTTTCATTAGCCGCGATCAATTTTCGAAATAATGAGGGATTTTTGCACATACGTTCATACTACTCATAAGTAGTCCATATATATATGAACACCATTGAACAGCGTATCTTGCTGATCTAAACGAAGTAAAGCGGTTAATGTGAGGCGAAGTCAGATGTAGTGAATAGGTCTCATGAATATTTTACACACAGATTTTGCATATAAAATTTAATGACTGCAAATAACTTACTTAACGGCTGGACCATGTCCTACCCATTAAGTCGCTAATTGGTTTGGGCTAAACGAAGGCTATCTTGTTACCAGAAGCTGCACTACGCTTAACAAATAGACAGATAATTGTTACGTGATAGAAACCTTGTTATATATTCCTAGAGTGGATTCCGAACGCAATTTCATGACTGTTCCAACACATTTGTCCGTGCATTTACCATTGCTATGTGGCGTTCACTTTTCTAGTCGCGTGTACATCGATGATTCCTCTGTCAGATCATTTGACTATACAATGTTTGTTGTTTGCATTGTGGTGGAAAACGTACATCCCTATGGTTGCCACACAGTTACCCGATTCTATCTATGGTCAATGATGTCACAAATCGGGGTCCTATTCGCCGATATTCGCAATTCAAAAGCGTTAGCTGGTTTTACCTTTACAGACAACTGTTCCTCATCCGAGCACTAACACTCCTTCATTTTGCTCCTCAGATTGTCCGGCATTTTCGTCAAATTGATCCACAGCATGCGAATGCCACGGCACAAGCGGACTACTCCATGGAAAGTCACGGTCTCGATCTGGAGACATACGTTCAGGTTCGTCTAATGTTTCACACTGCTACCTGTTTTGACTCGTTCTTCCGGTATTGTT